ACATTTTGTACAGTGCAAAATGCTTACTTGTTTACTGAGCAATATAAACTCTTTTTGCAGAAGGTGAAATAGCCATGTTACGGTTTTTATACCACACTTGTCCCATCAGTTGAATCCCTTCAAAGTGTCTTTTTGTATCAACCTCTGCATTGTTTTTTTTTTTCAGTTTTTTTCTTTTAGTTTTGTGGCATTTGTACTCACCATATTTCCTATCACATTTAAGTTATAATAAAGATTATTTTTTAATTACTAAGCACATCAATCCATATGTATAGTCACTCTTTCCATAAGCAGCCTCTCCAATGTCACGCTCATAGTTTAAGTTCAGAGCAAACCAGTTTTGTGTATCATTCAAGATACTTATCAAGAAAGGTTCTACAGGGTCTAGCAGAAATATGCTGAAGAGGCTCCAGGATTGTTACCAAACTTCTGCTGATTACTCTTCCCTTCTGTGAAGACAGAATCTCCTCAAACAGAAGACATTCCTTCTCCTCTTACAAACATCGAGGTTTACAGCACACAGCTCAGGGAACGCAGAACTGCGTATGGACGACAGAGCTAAAGCTGCAGAGAGCATGGGGCAGCTCACATATAGAGGTACCATGCCAAAAGGAGTTTATATCTCATTTCATTGTAGTTTAAAACCACCCTCGGGGAAGTTCATTAGCCTAAAGCTGATACCCTACACCGTTATGACTATTAAAAACCATAGATACATAAGAACCAGATAGGAAGGAGCAAATCCTGCTCTCAATAAAGTCACTGAGGGAATCCACAGGAATTTTAGTAGGACAAGCTTGAACCTGGGATACAGATGTATAGAGGCTAAATTTCACTTTGAGCCTTAATAGTGTTTTAGAAAACTAAATAAAACAATCATCTTCTAACATGATTCATTACAACCTTGAGAAAGTAAACAGACCTTAAAACTTCCAAAACCTGAAGGCAAATAAAAAGGAACAAACCACGTATTTGTGTAATTACATGTATGTTTTTCTGCTGACAACGCTGCCTTTTCCTAGCACATTAGTGCAAGAGCTCTCCTTTATGGAGAAGGAAAAACCAGATGCATAGAGGTGAGTGTCAAAAGACAGATGCTTACCGATTGGTAAAGAAGGAACGAGCAGGCAGTAATTACAAAACCTCTTTCTTAGGGCTGCAGCAGGTTGACTAAAGGTCTGGGTCACCCCAGGAAAGCACGTTAAGAAAATGTTCTTGTACCAAAGTAGCTCAGCAGCAGTGCAGATGGAAGAGATAGGGAGCTCACCAAAAGTGCACTAGTGAAAGGGGCTTACCTGGTGGTGGCGTTATCCTCACCTCATGCTTTCCATGAGCCATGGTGGTTTTCACTACCCCTGCCATGCTCTCTCTGCCTCTCTGCATTTTGCCCAGTATATAGAAACCTATAGTACCTCTATACTGCAGCAGCATAGGTTAGGCTGCACAGAGTTTCACACTGATTTTGGCAAGACTCCTCCTGTGCCTGCTATACCTTCAGAAAAGGTATCCTCTATAGCTTTACCCTATCTTGCAGCCCAGTATGTACAGATTAATGCTGACTTGAAGCATTCAAAATTAGGAGTCAGTACAACTGCCAGACTATGTATGGCTCCCTGCTTTGGTGATTTGCAATGGAATTATCCAGATAGGATGTGCTGCACCCCACTTCAGATGGCTGTGGCACCCCCGAGGGTATGATAGGGGTATCCTCATACCTAGGGGTTTGACCTTGAACATGGCCCAATCACATTTCATTACAGGCACTTGCTGGTAGATCAACAAACAGCAGCAAACCAAGGTTCCTCAGAACACCATTATCATTTGCTGAACTACTTTGTGATAAGAATGGAAAGAGAAATCAACAACACACAATAAACATTTTCTGCTGAAGAAAATGCTGATGGCAACAATACAATAGTCTTAATAACAGTGGAAACATAGGAAATGCATGGCCTTGGCAGATTTGCACACCTTCTGCTCAAATCCAGTTATGAGACGAACCTGAGATGGCCTTTGAGGAAAAGTAAATGAATATGTATCATGCTTCCTTGGGAAAAAAAGGAAAAAAAACCTCTGCATTACTTATGCAGAGGTTGCAACATAAACTGCAACACACAGCAGTGCTGCAGGCACTCACGTAAGCAATCCAGTGCCAAACACCAAGTGAGTTTCAGCTGCCCAGCCAAGAAGTTATGATCAAATTTACTTCTCCACATGTTATCTTTACAACAGGTGTTTACACTAAAATTGTTATTTTTGCAAAATCAATTTTGAGTGCTTCCTCACATAAACTATCCACCCACCCCGTGGTTTGCTTGCCCCTGCTAGTCCCTGCACAGCTGTTCCTTCTTGAAATATGTGACACCTGCAAACAGCCCATCTCCCCCCACTTTTCCATGTCTGAAATTGTCCTGTTTGGACTTGCACATTTTAATAGAAGTTCTAGGACATAGTAGATGCAGCCTTAGGATACTTCAGTGAAAGAGAAGATTGTGTCTGTACCCTCTGCAGTGAAAAGGAGTCAGCATGCTGATAATGGTGCATTATGACTTCTTGGAAAGAATTACATTCTGCAGTTAGGTTATAGAACTGGTAACTTTATTGTGCTAGATAGAACATTCTCTGTAATTTAGCTGGATATGAAATTTGTCTTTAGTGATGTTGATTTTCAGCTGTTACATAGTTATGTTCCAGTGGTAAATGATAGTTTCCATATATACTTAAATAAAATGTCAGATGGTTGTAAGAGAACTAATCACATCTGTATAATTTCCACACAATTGACATGCCTTTCACACATGAACACAGAACTCCTAGACTTACTGTGTAACAATGCTACTGCTTGCATGCTTAAAAAGCGCTCAGCAATTTTCATGACAAACAAAACTTGATCCTTTTAGAACATTTTCAAACAGCAATTAATGCAGTATCAAAACTTCCAACACCACTTTAATACATTACTATAACTTCTATGATAGGCATAGACAGTGTTTCATCAAGGTTTAATGCATCTGTGACAAAGACAAAGCACATATATGGGTTTTATCACTATGGCACAGTTTGGCTCTCTCACTTGGCCTTCTCCTGTAGCATGGCTTTTTTCAGGAGTTTATACAGCAAACTCTTCTCTCTGCTAACAAGTTAGAGTTAAACCCCAGTAGCCTTGGTTGGAAGCAGTAGGATTTATTACTGAACGGCACATGCCTTTTTGATGTAAGAAGTTATTCCATTGCAGGTGGATCAAATGCTGCAATACATCCATAAGCCTACTTGAGGAACTCCCATGTTTTATTCCGTACACAGTCAATTTCAACAGAAGCACAGTTCCAGCTTCTCAAAGGACTATCTTGTTTGTTATTTAAATAAAATCAATCTAGAGAAAGCACAAGACTTAAACCTAATAAGGATTCTTCTTGAGCAACCTGAAGATAAGACAGATAGAAATAGTGCACACAAATTCTGGATTTGTTGTTTTCTGGCAGTTCTGTGTTCCAACAAAAGCACCTGTATTACAGCAATTCACAGAGCAAGAGGTGAGAGAGTGGAAGAGTTGCACTTGCTGTCTGCTGTATTGGTCTGCCTGGCCTGCTAGTTATGCCATTGTGCTTTCTTCCCTTCTAAAGTCTCTGCAAAAAACCTCTGGAAAAAATTACAGTTAACCATGAACAACCTAAACTAAATTGAACTGCATAAAAACTATTATATCAAGATAAAATTTGTTTATTTACTATAGTTGAACTACTTTGTCCCGGAGGTTGCTTAGAATCTGAGATAAAGGTCTAAGTCACTTTACAAGTATTATCTATTTCCTTTGAAGAGATAACCCAGGATTCTCTACAAAGCAATTACCAAGCATTCAGTTGTTTTTCTTAAGGAAAACAAAAGAAAGTTAAAGTACACACCTTTATCACCTTTTCTGATCTGTGATGGAAAGGAATATGTCTAAGCACCTTCTGGAGCACAAATTGGAAGGTGTAATCTTTCATTTACAAAGTTCCCAAGAAAACATTTTCTAGTTACCATACTTGAGGTGAAATGGAAGCCAGAAAGGACTATTACTTCCTGCAATGGTTCTGACATTCCCTGGATGTCACAACTGGAATCAGTTGCAAAACATCTGTTAAGTTACCAACAGCTAGAGGGAGTAAGACAGAAGGAATCTAAAGGTGCCAATCTGATAGCTCCAAAGACTCATTCATACATACCCTGAAGCAACCATCTTTGGCAAGGCCAGATAGATCCATGAATCAGGATCCCTCTCTGCCTCTTGAAAGCCACTCATCTTTAAGCCCTTCTCAAGCTATGGCAATGGCCACCGTTGTCAAAGCCTATCCTTAGAAGACCTTGTTACAGGACAACTGCCACTGGAAAACCTGTATCCAACTTAACTCTCCAGCCGCACCCCATACAGGTGCCAGATAAAGTGCTCAAGATTTTAAAGAGTGCTTTTTATTCCTGTAAATTCTTCAGAACCTAACTACCTTGGTAAAACGGTGTCTCATCTCTGGGTAAATACCAGGCATTGACTTTGCTTCCAGCCTAGCTCTCAAGTGCAGGCTGCTTTGTCTCTACCTAATTTTCAGCACAGCTGCCCCTGTGATCAAGAATACTCCACCTTCTCTTTATAAGCTAATGAATGTATTAGTAAAAGAGATGGTCTAATACTTTCTGCTGAAGCTCTCATCTCTACAACTTGCAAGGGGCTCCCTTAAAAAGCACAGGAACTTATTTAGACACCTGAAAAGCATAAATCTAACTAAATTTGAAAGTTTGACTCTTACTACTAATTCTTGTCTTTCTGAAGCCTCACCAAAAAAGCATACAAGTTTTTGCTTCCCCCCCCATCCACCAAAAGTCACTGTTCTCCAGAATTCTGCAGGTCTAAAGAGTTAAAATCTACCCAGGCACTCCCTAAAAAACTTGAAAGACTATCTACAGTAGTCACAGTTGACTTAAACCCAGAATTAGCCATTTCCCACTCAATTAAGAGGCTGTTTTGATAAGGCAAAGATTTATTTATAAATGTTCACGAATTATGTCAGATCAACTTATAAGGTATTTACACAACAGCTGAAATTCACAGTATGTGCATTTCATACAAGCAACTATGGACAGCCTGTAGTAAGTTTTCCATGCAGGATCCAGATACTCCCACTGCCACTTAAAAACACCAATATCTGTAACACTCCCACAAGAGTTTCTATACCTGAGAACGTTTAGTATATCCTTTTAAGAGGAAGTTTGCAATTAAAAGCCACATACATAAGCCTATTTAAAGGTTGTCATTCCAGTTGCAAGTGCTTTGCTTCCTTTGAAGCAAGATCTGATCTATTCTCCCCTAAGCCAGATGATACTTGTGACAGCCCTTCCTCATCTCCACAGTTATGCTCTTCGTTTTCTCGTCCGAATTCCCTCAGAGTCAGATTCTCCCGTGTCTCAAGATTCTCAGGTCCTTGCCCAGTTAGCCTCTACAAAGAAACAGAGGATGGTGAACTTAATACTTTTTCTACTTAATAAACAGTGAAATAAGACTGCATACTGAATTAAGCAAGCTAATCACTTTCATTTGGAGGTTGTTCATATAATTAAAAACCCTCCTCACTCACAAAAATCTTAATACAAGTTCAACTCAAATTACTACCTCTAACTTGCAGACCACATTTGATTTGTTGACTGTTAAGTCTTCTTAGGTTCTTCAGTAGGATGGGTTACCTTAGGCAACCTAAAATATGGGAAGCTGCTTCCCAGGTTAAATATTTACTGTAGAACCATATAGGTTTAATTTTAGAAAAAATTACTGTACAACCAATTAACTCCATAATTTTTAATCAGAAATAATGAAGCTACATTAAGTCTAAATGAACTGTAAGACTCAGAAGTTTGTAGCACTTCTAACTAAAAGTTTCTAACCTAACCTGACCTAAGGAAGATAAACAGGACTGTTAGAGGCTGTTTTTGAAGCTCAGAAGTGAACTTAGCAGTTGAAGAACTGTATGGAAGTTTCTGACTACATTAGTTCAACTCTTCAAGTAATGTAATTTCAGCCCATGGGTTTATCACTAACAAGCAGTACTCCCTCAATATTAAAAAAATATTAAAGTGAAGCAAATTAGCAGAGTCTTTCAAGGCTGATCTAAATAATTGCATTACTGAAAATTAATTTGATGAAGGTTACTTCTGATTAATCAAGGTGCTTTCAATAATATTTCATTTTGTTTCCATCTCCCCAGTCTAGTCATCACAGATTTAAAATATTTGCCTGGTTTTACATCCCAGCTAAGAACTGCAACCCCGCAAAAATAAACTAGCTGATAGCCGTGGAAACTTGATGTTCAAGTTATCTATATATTTATTACAGCTTCAGAGGCTGTTACAGAGAATCCATTCCTGATAGAGGAGCCATGGAATTAGTAACACAACTACCTATCCCCAAGGAATTCTCAGAGGGAACTTGAGATTTTCAAGTTTAAGAACTTTACAGACTTTATGCCCAGCCCTTTTTGGACCACAAACCTGGCAATGCCTCAGTGAAACCTTGAGCATGGTGCTCCTTTCTTCCTCTCACTGCTCTACTTTTTGTTCCCGTTTCAAGTTTAGTTCCTTAAAGGATCAGCAAGTACAGGCATTTCATTTAGCCATCAGCCTCACACAACCTACTACGCATATTTTATATATAAATATAAGCATAATTAAGTCACCTCAAAGTGAAGATACACCCTTTCTTCCCTTGTCACCATCTCCAACATGCAAATCCTGTTGTGAGAGTAGGCTGAATCCCCCCTTCAGAAAGCATTTATCTTAGTATTTTCCCATTACTCCTGTAGGTTCTAAAGTGGGAAAAACTCATCCCCTAGAAGGAGCTTTATGCCTCTAGAATTAGAGCAATCCTGCAAGAAACAGTCAGGCAGCAATTTAAAATGAAGAGTCACATGAGAACACAGAACAGAAGTCATGATTCATTATAAAAACCTTTGCTGGTTTCTCGCTTTTTCACTTTACAACAGTTAACTGATAATTGCTTTAATTACCTCAATCACACTGGTCATGTAATGCACATGTTCAGCAAGGGACATGAGCTCTTCATTTTCTTCTTTTAGGCGGGCAATTTCACCATCCTTCTGTTCAATTTCTTTGTGCAACTGAGTTCAAATAACAAAATGTTAGAAGAGGAAGACAATAGCCAGTACTGAAGTAGTTAGTTACCTTTCAGTAGCTACCTTTTCATTTTCTTGAAGCACTTCATACAGAGCCTTCCTCCTTTCTTCAGCCACTTCTTTCCAATACTGAGAAGAAGGACTTCCTGAAGTAAGAGGCTACAGTAAGTCTGTGCTAAGACTGAATTCTTGAACACCTGACAATATCTGACATATACAAGTATCCTATGAGCTGTGATATGAAGAACTCACTCCATATAGCATTTTCAGATCTTAGCTGTAAGACTACAACTAAAGACATAAGCTTACAGGAAACAGATGCTACACTGCATTAATGGCTATACAGACAGCACCTTCACAAAGCTGCCTCAAGCATGGCAGCAGGCTCTGCAAGATGGTCACATTTGCAAATGTTGGTCTTAATGTGTACTTTGTGGGAGACAGAAGCCTTATTCCCAAGTCACTGTCCATGCTGGGCATAATGGTTCTGAGAAACTGCACACACAGCACACTGTGCTAGAACAGGCCTTCATTTCAACTTAATTATTAGTCACTTGAAAACTTATAGCCCAGCCAAAGTAACAAACTAAAAGACTTAACACTGCTGCACACAATGGTTCTCAGCTACTGGTTGCCATAAACTCAAATATTAGATATCTACACCTGATGTATTATACTATAGAAGACAAGTATCATCAATTCCTGCTAGGCGTTACAAAAAGCCACAAAGCCCTAATCTAAATGACAAAAACTGTTTCAAGTTGTACTCCAACAGCAGCATAGCATTTAAAGTGCAAGAAAACATTTCAGAAATTACTACATACCTTTCATCATGAGATCTACAGCTTGAATGACATTGTCCTCATTTTCTTGCTCCTTGTCCACAGACAGCTCAGCATTACAAGCCTTTGAGGCAAACTTATTATTCCAGAGTTTCCTTTTGACTGAAGATTTCTTCTGCATAAAACACAGGCAGCTTTAGGTTCAGAGCAGCATTTCAGCTTTTATAGAAATACAAACTTCCAAGTCTGCTCACTTATGACTGTAAGTAAGTCTCTACAAGTCCTGCTTTCTTCACATTATAGTTCTAGTTTACCAACATCTTCCTTGATACCCACAGATTTAACAAAATAAACGTCTCAAATTTTCTCAAAGTACTGGGAAATTGCTAGTTCTTAATATAATTTATTATTAAAATAATAGAAAGCTTAAGCTATGTCACACTAGTTAGCAGATTACATTTTTTCAGATATATTATTTTTTAGCTAAAAGCTCAAAAGCATTTGACTATAAGTCAAAATAATTACACATCTACAGATTATCTTTTATTTCATACCTCATTGTATCTGCCAACCAGGCTACCTGCTGCTGAAGGCTGAATCATTTTAAGAGTCTGTCTTGGGGAAGCAACACATGTGGTATCTGTGAGGTACTTCTAAAAAGAGAAATATGGTTCAGACAGTTGCCATTCCTCTTTGTACAAACTGAAAATTAGGAATTAGTCACACTTCCATTACGATAACCCATGGATATTCTTTTCAAGATATAGATATGACACTCTGGTCTATATTAAGGCTATTGTAAATAAGGGGATTGAGTTATTTGTAGCAGAGAGAGCTTAATTTCATGAAGCAATGCTCAGTCCCTGCCTCTTAAAAAACACCTTCATAAAAGAACTTGAACAGATCTTACAGCAGTAATATTCTGACTATATTTCAAGGCCAGTTACGGTGTTGACTTTAGCTAAAACTCTTAAACTTATATTTGAGAGCAGCAGCATTAGACTCTTGGGGACAGAGACAAAAGTGACTGCAATTGCATGTTTAGGTGGTAAAGTCACAGACATCACTTCAGGCAGTAGCTGATTTTGTTACCTGAGGACACACAGTCAAGTGGTGCTCATTTAAACAGCTGTATTACTTTGATTATCCATTAAAATGGATCAAAAGCTTCCCTGCTTCGATCCAGACAGACTATTGTTTTGTCTAAACGGTATGTTTATCAACCCTCCTATCATGCATAAATACCTCTTTCCGGCACTAAGGCTTTCTGATTGGGTTGGTTACACTGCCACCATGGGATAGCAAACAATGGCAGACAACCAAGCAAGAATAGCCAGAACACAATGCCACACCAGCGTGAGAAAGTTACGATTCACACCGTGCTTCATATGACACAAGTTCGCCTTTCCCACGGTAGTTTCTGCCACCAATTATCCTACTGTTCAACTCAAGGACAAACATTAACTGCTGTGGGAACAAGAATCACACTGTGTGTCAGACACCGCTCGCTGCTATTGAAGGTTAGTTAAGTACATTCTGCCAAGAAGTTATTGACCAATACTGGAGTTAACCCGTTGAAAGTGCAAAAAGCCACACCAAAGAATTTATACAGTAGAGATACTATGGGACAAGACTGCCATGTGTGTAAGTCAGACTTATCAACCGGCAATTTTCTTTAATACCAGAAGTTTTCATTACAATCAATATGCCTTCTGATATGAGGACTACTAGCCTCTATTATATATGGTATTTGTACAATTCTGATTAGGGCCTACATTATAAAGTTTACACAGGAATTGGTACAAACTTTAGTAACTTATCACTCAACCCTCAAAAACATAAATCTTTTAAGCGTTTCCACCAACTCCTCCTATGATTCAGGAGGGTGCCTTTAGGAGCCAAACTGCCTGCTTGAATACTTCAGTTAAAGCATGCTCAAGTCAAGAGAGACTTAACTCACTTTGTGAGTTCATGCCTATAAAGGACAGATTACAGAAACTACTCTACAACCCCTCAGCAGCCAGACAGATTCAGTGGGCAATGGCGCATAGCCAGCACCAAATAAACCCTGAAAAAAATCACGTGGAGAGACAGTAAGCTCAGTGTCAAAGTAAGAAGGACTTACTGAGCAATAGGAAAAAAGTAGTCATAAGCACATATGCCCAAGAAGGACAGCATGTTCCCAAGCCACACAGACAGCCAGGAGGCTGCTCAAGCCAGCTAGACATAAGCCAGGTGGAAGCACATTGCAACAGATTCCTCTGTATTTCTTCAGTGGATATAAGGCTTGTGCCAGACAGCAGGTACTAGGTGCTAGGCTTTAAAGCCCATACCTGCAGAGATCCTGATGATTTTTCTGCAGCCAGTTTCTGTTTCATTTTGGAATGCATAGGATCACCTGCAAAGCAATTAAAAAAAATAATATAACATCCAGCTGCAACCGAAGTTTGGGGGACAGTAGTTACAGACCATTACAATTTCGGTTTATCAGCTTCTATAACGGCCGCACACCCAAAACTGCTGGGGGAGGGGGACGGGACACGCGGGACACCCACGACACGCCCGCCCCGCCCCTCCCTCCCTCCGCGCGCGCCGCGGCGGCCAATGGGAGCAGCCGGGCAGGAGCGCGCCAACACCCAAACGCGGCTGGGAAAGCACGCGCGCCCCCCCACCCCCCACCCACGCGGCTCAAGCGAGACGGAGAGCCCCGTCCCTTCCTCTCTCTCTCTCTCTCTCCCTCCCTCCCACTCGTCTCCCGCTCCCAATCCCAGCGCCCAGCACCACCGCCGTTTCCCTTCCTCGCTCGCTCCCTCCCTCTGGCCCTGCTCACCGGCGGCCGCTCCCACAGAACCTCTCAGCGCGCGCTAGCACCACGAGCCCTGCTCTCGCGCCCGGCCCTCCTCTTTAAGGAGCGCGGCGGTCACGTGAGCCTCCGGCCGCCTTTCGAGCCAATCACGGGTCACGCTCGCCCCTCGCTCCGCGGGCGGAGCCCCGCCCCTAGGGCCTTGGCGGGGGCTGAGCTGTGTGTGGGTTTTTTTGGATTTGGGTTTTTTTTTTTCTTTCTTTCTTTTTATTTTATTTCATTTTTTTAATAAAGAAGTTCTACCAACGCAAATTTAATCACCTCTCCGCTTTCTTGTCATCACAATCTAAACACAGCACAACCTGCAAACCGGGGAAGAAAATTTAATAGTGTTAAAGCCGCCACACCTGTTACACAGTAATAATTTTATACATGATACAGGCTACAGCTCTTATTAATTATGACTGAGGTATGCCGTTGAGTTTGTTAGAGGCCACTTGACACTTATGTTCCTTCAAATATTTGCACATTTATCTGTTATTTATGCTAATAGTATCTTTTGCTGACTCCTAAGTAAACATTTGTAGAGTTAAGGACGTTCCTTGTGTCAAGGTTTCATAGAGCAGCTATCAAAATTTTTTCCAAGCAATACGATGGAGCTATTAGAAATTAGGATAATTACAGAGAGAAGTATTTATTTAGCATGCCACACTGCTAAACCTCTGTTTGGAAATAAACTGTATGGCACTTATCAAATGTATTAAGCATGATGAAAGATGAAAGGCAGAACATAAAAAATTATGCATTAGGAAATATTTAAACATGAATAAGGAAATAAAGCTGATCTCTCTTCCATAAACTTGTTCAGTCTCCCATTGACCCATTTAAATTTGCATTGTCCACAATATCCTTTGGCAAGTCCTTCTAGAGCTCAAATAACCATTGTTTGAAGAACACCCTCCTTTTTTTTTCTCTTTGAACCTGATTCCTATATTGGCCCTCAATGTTCTCTGTCCTTGGACTGGAAGAGACAACAAACAATCTGTCCTTATCTAGGCCACAATTACACAGACTGCCCTCCAGTTCTCTCTCCCAGGTCTACTTACATATTCCTTACATGAAAGCTGTTCCATCTTCCTGGTCTTTTGTGAAATGTATGCCATTTGATTTCCCTTTTTAAACACTGCTGAACACTGAGACACACTTTTGTGGAAAAATCTGCCATAACTCTCAGATCCTGTTCTTGAGTGATGGTCAGTTCAGAGTCTGTCATTTGATATGTGAAATTAAAATTCTTTTTCTTATGCTTTGATATATTCTTTGTTTATCCACATTGATTTTCATTGCTGTATTCATGTGCTACCCAATTCCATAATGTCCTTCTGCAGTTTTTGTCAGCTTTGTTCCTGCTATCTTAAATACAATAGTGTCATCAGCAAACTGTCACCTCAGTTAGCTTTGTCTTCTGTCAAGATAATGAAAATAACACATGCAGAATGTCTATTTTAATTAATATTTTTCTGTTACATTACCAAAACAAAGCTCATGCTCCTAAGTTAGTTTAATTCTTGTGGATTCTGGAAGAAAATTTGAAATGTCCATGTTTCAAAACACTAGTAGATATGCTAAACTCTGGTTAAATATATGCATAAAATCTTACCAGCATTAAATCTCCTTCCAGAAAAATCTGGATACAGGTAATGTGTACATAAACACAATATAAAAACATTCCTGGGTTTATATTTTATGTATTTTTATACAGAAATATAAAAATGCAATAAAAACATCATATGAAACATTGAAATTAGATGCAAGCTTAGATTTATATGCACTGTGTGTATTTTATGGCTGTGATACAATTTTTGTAAATACTTTGTTTTCAAATAAAACTTTCTCAAATATTACCTTTTCAAAATTCAGGTTTAATTCACAAAAAGTTTTCCAGTGGATTCACAGTTCAGAAATGGAATAGCTGCTTTTAGAAATGTTGGTAATTGGAAAGGGCCAAGGTAATGGGAGATAGTTCTGATGTGACAGTTCTGTTTGTTTTCCCTTTTAATTTGTTCCTTGCTGGAGGCATACAATCTGGAGGTTTATTACAAAGCTGCCACTCCTTCAATTTATCCATCTGAAGAACATGTCCTCTTATGAACCACCACGTCTCTGAGTTCAATTTCTTCAGTTTGAAAGGGTTGTAAAGAACCCTGTCACCGTTTCAGAAAGAACACTCAGAGTTTATTATTAGCAGCCTATTCATAGTCTTAATTGTGTAAAACCAGTGTAATTATATAAAAATCTCACCAAAAAAATTACTTTATTGTAATAATTCCCATTTTGGTGGCCCAAGGTTAAATTTAAATAGGGATTAGAGTATTTTTATATGCAAAAATCTGCCAGCCCAGTGCCAGCAGAATATATTTTTCTTCAAATTGAGTGCAATATAATGCATTTCAGCTTGTTTCATAAAAAATAAAACTCTCTGTCATGAATACTTATGACTATTTGCACTTCAAGTGAGCCTAAGCAAACACCCCGAGGTTTCCCATAGAGCTCAGCCAGTTTGTTAGATTATTCATGGTAGCAGAGAATGTGTACTTTTTAAAACTTTTATACTCCATTGCTACTGATAAATGTTATCAGATTTTATAGCAAATGACAACTGGGGAAAAAAAAAAGCTTCTTGGACGACTTCACATACCTGGGAACATGGAAATAGGTGGGAAAGCATGATTCGGTCTCCAGCAACTCAAGGGTCCTGTCTTGCTTAGATGCCAGTGTGTGGAAACTTCCTAAGCATTGCACAGAGTTTGGACTTGGCTATGTGAATCAAGTGCTGACAAAACTGTATTTCCTCTTGACAGTCACACTGTGACTTTTGCCAAGGCCTTTATTTTACTGTGCAGATAATGTTCTCTCTCTAGGGTGCTTAAGGACTCTTTATTTCTACCTGCTACATTAAGTATAGGTAAACAACATTGCAATTTTTTTGTGTGTGTTATATTATTACATAAATATCATAAGTGTTTTCCTATTTATTAGTATTTAGTGTAAGAAACAACTGTAACTCTTTGAGATGCAGAGAACCACCACCATGCAGAGGGCCAGGAGAGCCAGTGCAGTGCTGAGCCTCTGACACTCATGAATGTCTCTTCTCAGTCCTGCTCCGGGTGCAAGCGCTGCAACAAGGTCAGGGAAAGGAAGACCTAAGGCCGGCTTTGGGCTCTCTGAGTCAATAAACAAGACCTGTGGTTCTTACGGTGCCTTTCTGCTGTTCCCTTGGCCCTTCTGTCCAATATTTATATGAGGGATGAAAGGGCTCCCAGCCATCCGCCGGGCGACAGTAGATGGCAGCGTGGCATCATGCTTCTCCTCCCTCAGCCTCTTGTTTCTGGGGTGTTTCATCGTATAGAGGAGTGTTTCGTGTGTTACCGAAAAGAAATTAAAGATTTGCCTTCTTTTCCCTAGGTTAATCAGTACGGATGGCTGCATGCTAATGAAACTCTGCATAAAGAAAGTATTATATACACAGCACAGTCCAGGTATAATTCATAATGCAAGCCGGTTTTCAATTAATTATTGATTAATTGCTATTGATTAAATATCTCCAGAGAGTACACAACTTTCTTGTATTAGAATGAAAGATTGTCCTGCGAATACTGATCCTTAGTGCTCTGGAGGTGAAAGGTTAAAAGAAATATCTACATCTAACCTAGTGATTTCTTCCCTAGTTAAGAACCTTGTGAGTCACTAAGACATCCCTTAAACACTGTTAGGTCCTAACCTTCTCAGCGATTGATTTACCTTGAAAAAAACCATCATTTATGTAGTGCCTTAAGATTTAAAAATTAAACATTCTCTATAAAGGATAGGATTTAATAATCTAAAATACTTCCAAATTTGTTGACTAAAAATAAACAGATATTCTTTACAGACTGAACAAATAGAACAAGTTGTTTCAAATTTTACCCTTACTCTTGCAAGCACCTGCTGACAAACACAAACCCTACATCGGAAAATGATTATTTTTGTTTATTATAGAACAAACCAGGCTAATAAAGTCAAATGCATTTTGTACATCACTAACTGAAAACATAAGTTAAAGGTGACACAGCACAGTGAAAAAGAGCCAAAAGTCTTTCAGATACCAAAATACTTTGTCCAATGGAAATTGAATTGCAGGTATATGTACCAAGTACAGGCAGGGATCCTTGTTTTTAATGTATATTTCAGACATTTTAAAAATAAATGCAAAGTTTTAGAGACAGGACATGAATTTGTTACACCAAACAAATGGCCAAGCTATTAAAGAAATCATAATTACCATACTCAAAAGTGGCACTTGATTTGATATCTTGTTTGGGGAAGTCATCATCTCAGCAAAGGCACTGAGAACCTATAGTTACTTTTAGTTATATTCCTAAATGTCAGGAAAGCACAAGCCGGACAAGCAGAAAATGAGAACACAGATAATCAAGCGTATTTAAGTGTGTATGTATATATATACACACAGACACATAATTATTAAGATGTAACAAATCCAGCAAGACAATAGTTAAACTTTAGCAAAAATTTAGGATCAATACCCCTCACATGTTCAAAAACATGTGTCCCATTTTATGACCACAGCACCCTGCAACTATAAAGTGGGACATAGGGAAGTGGTGAATGAAGCTTAATATCATACCAACAGCTGTGCAGCGGTGTGCTGGTTTTGGCTGGGATAGAGTTAGTCTTCTTCTTTTGGGACAACCCAAACCATTCTATGATTCTGTGATTCTAAGTGTATACATAGTTGTTCAGTACATGATGTAAAGAGTGTTGTATGCATTAAACGCTGACATTTCTTTACACAAAAGCATTCCTGTTATGCCTTAGAAACCAATGTTTTCTCTGAAGGCAGAAAAGAGTTAATTATTATATTCTGAAATATATGAAAGTTTTAATTACCACCTAATTTGTCTTGTTTGAATTTACAAAGAATACTAATTTATTTTTGTCTGGTGCATAAATATTTGGCACTGAATTAATCAGAGTACTGTTTTTGAAGCAAGCAGCTTCAGGGCTGTTACTTCTTCTAACATTTACAGCCAGTACAATA